GATTAAATGCTCTCTTTTGTAAGAGTTGCCTTGGTCATGGTGTCTCTTCACAGCAGTAAAACAGTGACTAAGACACAAACCCCTTCTCATGTGACAGCTGATTGTGACACCACCCCCAACTACGGAACCCTTTGATCTGACCCGTCATAGTTTGAGGGACAAAAGCCTAGCACTATCTTCAGTCTGACATCAGATCACCCTTGCTTCTTCACCACTCTGTCACTTTGTCACTGCCATGTGTGTACGCAAGAGCTTGAAATGTCCCCGCCTGTGGGCATGTGAAGCCTCCCTGTGCTGCCCTTTCTTGAACTGGTTTTCTGCTGGGATACTTTGCCCTTGCTCCTCCTTTGGGCAAAAGGCTGATGTTGTCTCCATAAAAACGCTTGAACTAGCCGGGCGTTGGTGGCGCACACTTTTAATCCCAACACTTGGGAGGCAGAGGCAGGCGGATCACAGGTGAGTTCGAGGCCAGCCTGGTCTCCAGAGCGAGTGCCAGGATAGGCTCCAAAGCTACACAGAGAAACCCTGTCTCGAAAAACCAAAAAATAAACAAAACAAAAACAAAAAATTGCTTGAACTTCCTTCTCTCATGTGATTGATCACTTCTTCCTCTCTGTTCTTCTGTCATTTTGTGCTGTCAAATGTACTTGCCTTACTGAATTGTAAGGGCAGAGACAGCATCCTGTTTCCACATACACAAAGTACTGGGGCATCAAAATCTGTGATTTTGATAATTTTTGATAAATAATAATTTTGACAAATAATATTTTAATAAATAACTGTGAGGTGAAGGTTTGAATGCGTGAATGAATTCAACATGCTTATTGAAGCCTGTATGCACAGAACAAACACCAAGGCATCTTTTGCCTCTCCCCCTTGTTGGTTTGTCATTCTCATTCTCTCTCTCCCCCTCCCTCATTCCCCACCCCTCATGTTTTGAGACAGAGTTTCTCTCTGTAGCCCTGACCGTCTTGGAACTTACTCCATAGACCAGGCTGGCCTTGCACCCATAGAGATCCGCCTGCCTCTGCCTTCCCACAGGCCTCTCTGCACCTTTTTCCGCCCTGGTTTTCCTGCATGGGTCCTGGCTGTCTTTCTCAAGTCCGATTGACAGCCTGGTAAGCACCCACTCACTCTAGGGCACCTGGGGCACTTCTCTTGATTCTCAGGCTGGTGACTGGTTCTTTCTTGTTTCCTGTTGTGAGATTTCCTCAGTGCCAGCTTCCAGGTGTGTCATGCTTGTGGATGTCTTGACATTTTTCTTCAGGCTGTCTGTCATTTTCTCGCATACTTCCTTCCCAGGTGCCTCCTCCTGTTTTTCTGGATGTCTTCTGTATATTTTCTTTTGCCATACCCTCATGTTACACATGTATTTTCTATCCCGTGGCACTGGGCATTCTAGTTGTGCCTCAAAATGGTATCACTCTTTATCCCAGGAAATAACTCAGAGCTCATCATGGCTTTGCCTCCTCCCATCCCCTGGCAGCTGTCTCCCACCGAGTTCAACTTCAGCACCCTAATTCTGCTGTGTGCGGTCATGGGCAGTGTGCTTTTCATCGGCTCCACACTGTCATTCAAATCCTGTCATCCATCGTCTCTCACCTGAGTTATTTAAATTGCTTATGTATGAATTTATGCATTTATTCTGGTGCTAGGGATCACACCAGGGCCTTGCACCCCCCCCCCAATTACATCTTTGTTTTCTCCTTCCCTCCTCCTCCTCCTCTTCTTTGAGACAGGGTTTCTCTGTGTAGCTTTGGAGCCTATCTTGGCACTTACTCTGTAGACCAGGCTGGCCTTGAACTCAGAGATCCGCCTGCCTTTGCCTCCTGAGTGCTGGGATTAAAGGCGTGCATCACCAATGCCCAGCCCCCCTCTTCTTTTTATACACAGTGTATCTCTGTGTAACACAGGCTGGCCCCAAGCTTGCTCTGCAGCTCAGGCTGCCCTTGAATTCCCGATTCTTTGTCTCTGCTTCCCATGTACTAGGATTTCAGGCCTGTGCCCAAGCCTAGATCCTGAGTTGCATAGTTAATAAACCTTTGAATCATCTCCTGACACCTCTCAAGCATTCCCCACACTTTACCTGTGACGATCTTTTTTTTTAAAGATGTTAATGCTGTTCATATCTTATCACAACTTACCCTGACTTTGCTCAGGGTAAAGCTACCCTAGAAAACTGTTAGGTGCATGACCCACAGAGTCCTGTGTCTTTAGCCCTGAGCTGCCTCTCCAGCCGCCCTCGTTTTTTCTGATCAGTGTTCCCTTTCTTTTAGTGTACCTGCCGAGTTTTATCATAGGCCTTCCTTACTGGCATCTCTGTTAGCTGCCTCCTTAAAGTTCTAGCATGGCTTCTTCATTCTACCTACCCAACCTCCACTGCTGTTAGGACCTTCTACTAGCCAGCTCCTACAATGTCCCCTTTATAGAGCTTACCATAGTTTTAAATTATATAGCCCTGTGATCATCCAGTAGGAATTTCCCATTCTTGGTTCTAGTGAGGACCAGAGAGAGGAGTCGTGTCCACATGCCCACAGTTTTACTGAATCCCGTGATTAAGGAGTAATCATCATGCTTCATACATGTTATTAGAGGCAGTGAGTAGCTCCAGTGTGGCCCTGTTTGTCCTGTCCTTCAGAAGTTAACCAGGTCTATGTACAGGCATGTCCTGTGTGTGATGCTCCATCACCAGCCTCCCCGAGGCCAAACATGGCTATACTTAGTAAAGGAAAAAAATTCATGAAGGAAGAGTACAAAACAAGGCAACTGAACTTTCCTTTTCCATGTATGTGTATTTCGGCATACATGTATGTGGGAGTGCAGGCAGATGGGTACACATGAATTTGGAGGCCCAGCATTAATGTCAGATTGTCTGTCACTCCCCCACCTTTTTTGATGAGACAGAGTCTCTCAGTCAGATACAGATGTGCCAATATCACGGCTAGTCTTGCTAGCCAGCGTGCTCTAAGGATCTCCTGCCTGCATCTCCCGAGTCTGGAATTACAGGTAGGCTGCCATTCCCACCCTGCTTTCACTTCCATTCTGGGGATTCACACTCTGGTCCTCAGCCTTGTGCAGCAAGTGGTTTTTGTTTTTATTTCACCATGTAGCCTTGACTGACCTGGAACTTGCTAGGTAGACCAGGCTGTCTTCAAAGTCATTGAAACCAACCTTCCTCTGCTTCTGGAGTGCTGGGATTAAAGGTGTGCACCACTGTCCCTGGCCCCAATTAAAAACAACAACAACAAAAATGTGTGTGGGTATTTTGCCCGCCTGCATGTGTGTGACTGGCACCCTTGGAAGGTTGTTGGATCCCCTGGAACTAGAGTTACAGATGGTTGTAAGTCACCATGTGGATGCTTGGAATTGAACCTGGGTCCTCTGGAAGAGTAGCCAGTGCTCTTAACTGTTGAACCATCTCTTCAGGAAGGAAGTGTTTTCATTCACTTAGCCATCACCCCATTCTACAACTGAAATCTCTTCCAGAGGATCAGGGTTCAATTCTCAGCACCCACATGGCAGCTCACAATTATCTGTAACTCTCATTCCAGGGGATCTGATGCTGTCACACAGGAAGGCACACAGGCAATACACCAATGCACATAAAAATGAAAATAAATAAATCATACTTTTTATTATTTTATGTATATGATTCTTTTGCCTACATGTATGTCTGTGCACCACAAATATGCTTAGTATCACAGAGGCCAAAATGAGTATCAGATCCCCTGGAATGGGAGTTACAGATGGTTGTGAGCCTCCATGTGGCCTGAGCCCTGGGTCCTCTGATAGAGGTGTCAGTGCTGAGTCAATTCTCCAGCCCCAGTCTCCTGTGTGTGTGTGTGTGTGTGTGTGTGTGTGTGTGTGTGTGTGTGTATGAGTGAGTGTGTGAGCATGTATATATGAGTGTGCGTATGAGAGTGTATGAGTGTATGTATTAGTGTGTGTATGAGTGTGTGTGTGGTGTGCATGTGTGAGTATGTGGGCATTATGAGTATGCATGTATGAGTATGTGGGCATTATGAGTGTGTGTGTGTGTGTGTGTGTGTGTGTGTGTGTGTGTTTGTGTGGCTAGGAATTGCACCCATGGCCTAGCACATGCTAGGTAAGTGCTTTCCCATTGTACTACAGTGCCAGCCACACTTCAGACTTACTCTGTATCCTTGACCTCTAAGCTAGTAAAAGTTCATCTCTTTGTGTTTGTTTTCAGTTGGGATACCTAGTGTTGAATTTCATGTTTAGCTGTAGTAATCACTTCTTGCATATAAGTGTGATTATATCTGTTTTTAATATTTTTATTATTTATTACTTATCTATTTTGTTTTATTTATTCTTGGTTTTGGAGGACAGAGTCTCATTGTGTAGTCCAGGCTGGACTTGAACATGTGATTGCCCTGCTTTGCCTTCCAAGTGCTGATATCATAAACCATACCTGACTGGTTTATGCTGTTTAAAACAGTGCACTTGTACAGGTCAGAGGACAACTTCTAGAGTTGGTTCTCTTCTATGTGTAAATGCTAGGGCTCGAACTCAGTACATCAGACTTGACAGCAAGCACCTTTACCTGCTGATCCATATTGTCATTCCTTTTGGCTATTTTTAAAGTGATTAACTGCCGGACGGTGGTAGCCCATGCCTTTAATCCCAGCATTTGGGAGTCAGAAGCAGGTCGATCTTTAAGTTTGAGGCCAGCCTGGTCAATAGAGCTAGTTCCAGGACAGCCAAGGCTACACAGAGAAACCCTGTCTTGAAAAACAATAAACAAACAAACAAACAAACAAATAAGAGATTAATTAATTTTGTTAATTGTATTGTGTTGTTTATGCTTAATTTAAAAAATAACTTAGATCCTTTTGTTATAGATAATTAATGTTTTCATTTATATTGTAAAATATATATACGTGATATGGAACATGTTATACATATTTACGGTATATAATATATAGTACATGCGTATAACAAAATCCTTATGCTTGCTTTCTTTATTTCACAGTGATAGCAATCTGTATTCCTCATTTGGAGCAACTCTGGAGAGGGATGATGAGAAGAATTTATGGAGCATGCCTCATGATGTGTCCCACACAGAGGCAGACGACGACAGGATCTTGTACAATCTGATAGTCATTCGTAATCAGCAGACCAAAGACTCCGAGGTAAGCACTTTTTGCTATCTCACTATGTACAGCTGACACTAGGTAGTAAGACACTGCTGTTACAGGGTCGGGGTGGAGCTTGGCTCTGTCAGTGCCATGCCTGTTGTGCAAATGTGAGTCTCATGCCCTAGAACTCATAAAAACAGCTAGGCATGGCAGCACCTACCTGTCACCGCCTCCTCAGTGCTGGGGAGGCTGAGACACAGAAGGCTGACTCAGTGAGCTTCAGGTTCATTGAGAGGTCCTGTCTCAAAAGGTAAGATGGAAGTCTGGAGAGACGGCTCAGGGGTAAAGTGCTTGCTGTGCAAGCCTTTGGACCTGCATTGTGATTGCTAGAACCCATATAAAACTCAGCTGCACTATCACATGAGTCTAATCCTAGGATGTCCCTACTAGGAAATGGCAGGCGGAGGCAGGAGAATTGACAGAAGCCCACACATTAACTAGTCTGGAGTACATGGCAATAAACAACCAGAAAGACTGTGTTTCAGACAAGGTAGAAGCAAGGACCGATGCCAAAGGTTGTCCTCTGACCTTCTCTCTCTCTCTCTCTCTCTCTCTCTCTCTCTCTCTCTCTCACTGTGGCACATATGTGAGTGTGCTCATACATGCCCACACATTCAGAGTTAACGGCCCTGTCTCAAAACAAAACAAAAAACAGAAAACAAAACAAAAGACCAGCTGGATAGAATGAATGACGGATGACTACACAGTCAGGTGGTCAGGCTGATCTTGAATTCTTGATAAGTTGTGTGACATGAGAGACAAATATCTTAACTGTGTGCATTAGTACTTGTTAATGCTGATAGACTTGCTTGATACCTTGATGGGACTCATTCTTCAGTTTTACCTTAACAGCATATTGATTTTTACCCATCTTAATGGCATAAATTATATGTAAGGCAATGCTGTTGAAGAGCAGTGAGAAGGACGATTTGAAATCTTAAATCATTCATCTCTTATCTCTCCAGCTGTTTAACAAGCCACAGCTAGATAATTCAGGTTGAAATGTGAAGGGTAGTTTGTGTTACCACTAGATCTGATTTAGTCAAGGGTTGTGTGTGGTCATGTGCACAGTGCACGCTTGTTTGCATGTTTGAAGGTTTTCAACTGTTCGTGTCAATTAGACAGCCAGGTGACTTAGAATGCCTTTTACAATAAGTCTTTTTCTTTTAATTAATTTATTTTTATTTTCTGTTCATTGGCATTTTGCCTGCATATACGTCTGTGTTCTGACAAACCCTGAAGCTGGAGTTACAGACAGGTGTGAGCTGCCATGGAGGTGCTGGGAACTGGACCCTGGTCTTCTTGAAGAGCAGCTCATGCTCTCTACTGCCGAGTGGTCTCTCCAGCCCCCTACAGTAAAGTCTTGAAACATTCCTAAGGACTAAAAAGTGGCATTGGAACACTAGAATATAAAAAGAAGGATCTGTGAGTCAGGATTGCAAAGAGGATTGTGGTTCCTCCATTCTTTCAAAAGTAGTGTTAGAGTATTGTATAAAATAATTCCCCAGGCCAGGAGTTGGTGGCGCATATCTTTAATCCCAGCATGTGGGAGGCAGAAGCAGGCAGATCTCTGTGAGTTCGAGCCCAGCCTGTTCTACAGAGCGAGTGCCAGGACTGTTAGGACTGTTAACAGGGAAACCCTGCCTTGAAAAACAAAATAACAAAACAAAAAAAACCAAAACAAAATAAAAAAAATCCAAATAATGTCACTAAAGCTGTGCTACTCCTGTGCTTGCTGGCTAGTCGGAGTAGATACCCATAGCAAATACACACTGCATGCTTCTTTGTGCTTTAGAGTTCAGAGTAAGAGAAGCTCTGAAAGAAGGCACTGGGGTGTGCTATGGAGCGTTGGTGATGACTCTTGTATATTAATTTTGCGTTGTTTTTTTGAGATAGGGTCTCACAGTGTAGCCTAGGCTGACTGGGGATTCCCTGTGTAAGACCAGGCTGGCCCAGGACTCACAGAGATCCTCCTGCCTTTGCACCACCCTGCCCAGCTTTTAGGGGTGACTTTAGAAGTGCACCTGTTCTGGTGCTTTGGTTTTGGTGTGATTCGGTTGCCTTTGGTTAGGGTTGGGATGGAGACAGGTGGTTCCCTGGCTGTGGCGGCTAGGGCTTCCTGCAGCGGCTCTTGGTATTTAGCCTCCCACGAGGGGCTTGTTTGCAGCTGAGCCCTGCAGCTCTTCTGGGAGGAGCTCTCGTGTCTGTCTTCTCCTTTGAAGAGGCAACAGGTGCTGCAGAACACTCCCCAAATGCAGCCAGGTATGCATGGCCAAAGGGCCACCTAGAGGTCTTTCTTTCTTTCTTTCTTTCTTTCTTTCTTTCTTTCTTTCTTTCTTTCTTTCTTTCTTTCTCTTCTTATTCTTGCTCAGGAAATGATATCAAGCTAGACTCTCAGAGAATATTGCCAAGAAAGATAACCAGATAGATAATATGGAGATTTGATGGTTACTACACATGAGATGATTTGAATATCTGTTCACAGGACTTCCCTTTCTTTAGAAAAAAAAGCATAGAAGTAAATAAAAACTGGCTGTATCGTTCAAAAATCGAAGTGAAAGCATATACATTATTCATTTCTCACAGATGGACTATAGATCATATAGTCTTCTACACCTTTTTTTCTGCTTAATGTGTTCTGGACACATTTCCATTTCTCTGTGCTTGCATTTTCTTTATTGCTTTTGGAGACTTCCTGGTATTCTGGATTTTTCTACTCTTTATTCAGCCAATACATATTGTTGTTGAGGTTAATTCCCCCCCTTTTTTTTTTTTTTTGCTATTAGAAGCCATGCTGCATTTATCTAGATGTGTAGGACCTTCCATGTCTTTTTCAAGAGTTGCATTCCTGCATCACAGGAATTTTCCACAAAATGGAAATGGGAGGTGGAGGGGGGTGGAGAGATGGCTCAGTGGTTAACAGCCCTGGCTGCTCATCTAGAGGACTCAGGTTCAATTCCCAGCATCCACATGGCAGCTCACAACTCTTTGTAACTCTAGTTCCAGGGGAATCTGACACCATCTTCTGGTGCATGCACATACATGCAGGCAAAACCCTTATACATATAAAATAAAAAAAAATAAAATAAAGAATTTAAATGGGGACTTGGAAGAACAGTTGAGGGTTCAGAATGGAGACTGAAATCTGAGATCGTATCAGGGACTAGGTCGGAAGGAGCATCAGTGAATGACGTGGTTCCCCTCCACTGAACCAAGAGCCCTGGTGTTAGGAACTCATGCTGCCTTTATGGGCACAGTTGATTGCCATGCAGAGAATATGGACCCTAAATGTTGGAACTTCTGCTTTTTAGAGTGAAACTGAAACATCTACGTTCTCATTATAAAATAGCCCGCTTTTAAAAGAACTAGAAAGCCTGCCAGTTAAACAAAATAGTGTTAATAGATTACTGCTAGATACATAGGGGCATATGGAACGGAGTCCACTCTTCCAGTATTATCACTTTGTCCAGACTGATTACGCAATGAACTTACCATTGTTTTTAAGAAGATGAGGTAGAGAACTGGCAAGCTGGTATTTTAAGTCCAAACAAATTCCAGGCTTATTACTATGCCATTTCCTTTCTCATAGAGGATAGCGTTGGTCCAGATTTTAATAAAACAGAAGATTTGAGTTTTAAAAATAAAATTCCACCCAATAAAAGGAATGCTAGATAATTTTCAAATGTATTGTTTGGAAACTCAGACAGTATGTTAAGGGAACTGAACAGCGTTTCTCCTCGAGTAACACCAGTACCAAAGACCTGGGTACAGTCATATTTAGGATTCTCTGAATAATGAAAAATAATTCCAGAACAGTGTGCATGCTAGCTACAGTCTCTGCATCGAACCCGAGCTGCTGCAGGAGAACTGCACACAGTTAAGGCTGACTCTACTCTAGATGGAGACGCATGAAGAAGAGAAGATACACAATGAAGAAAAGGCAGTTTAACTGGCAGGGTCAAAAAACTCACTAGCTTTTATGCAAGCTCTCAAACACTGATGGAAACTAGACTCTGAGCAGAGGAAAGGACACATCAGCAGCCCTGAAAGTAGTGGAAAGCGATTCCTTGAATGAGACTGAGAAGTGCTTTATGGTTGACTAAGAAATAGCAAACAGTCTCATTCTCCTGTCATTAATCATTGTCCTTATGTTCTTGCTCATTAAACTACTTCTCCTCTATACAGTACTCGGTTCTAAGGAGTTTAATAGTTGTCTGTGATTTATTGTCGAAGCACTTGATTTATTCGTTTGTAAAATAAATGGTAAGTGTACTGATTTTGTTCAAGATAATAAGAATGAAAACTATTTAGCACTAGTCATCTCCGTTTTTGTATATTAGGAGGCCCTTGTAACAGCTCAGTGAAGTAAGTACTTATAAGAAGTAAGTAAGTTATTGCTCCCATTTAAGCAATTTACCCAGGGCCTGTTAAGTTTAAAGGCAGGATTTGAATCTGGGTTTCATTAGTCCCAAGACACAATACATAATGTGGGAGGAACACTCACTACCAGTCATTAATTTTAGACTTGGACCAGGTTTCAGAGAGCATTAACGAAGTCCACCCACAGTCTGCGTATGATTTCTTGAAGCCAGTGAGTAGGAAAGGTGTTTTCACCAGTGGGTGGAGCACCATGCTTGGTGAGGGGCTGGGTGACCACATTTCAGGAAGTGTTTCTCAGCTCATGACTTTCCATGGTGACCGACACCGCTCACCGTTTGCCCAGTTCCACCATCAGTTCTCTGAGCACTTGGTACTTAGTTCCGCCTGAGAGTAAGCCCAGGATCTTGAACTTGTGAGGCAGATGCTCTGTCACTGAGCTGTGTGCCCAGTTCAGATTTGACACTTGGGATTAAGAAAATACATGTTAAACCTTGTATCATCCTCATCAACACTTTTAAGTACTTTTTAAGGCATAATGAATTTTAGATACTCTGTGCTTACTTTTGAGTAATCACATGATCAAAAATGTATGCAGTTGTCATGACAGGAACCTG